GCGCATATGCGTTTGGCAACATCATGTTGCCGCCCTGATTGCAGAGATATGTTGGTTTTCTTCCAGTCGGAGCTGGGGGCTTTAATATGAGTCATGTTGGTGTTGGCACTCCCGTTCGTCACGTGGCGATGGCAACGGTGATGGCATTCCCGTTGTGCCTTGCTTTCGTTGTCCTCCCATGGGTTGGAGTGTGAGCCCGTGGATATGTCAGACTCTCAACGAGGCCATCAGCTCCCGGGCCCCAGAGGCCTCTACGCACAACCTCCCCTGGCCCCGGACCTGGCCCTGGACCTCATTCACACAGAGTACGTGGACAGCGTTGTATGTCTGCCCGGGTCCGGGAAGCGCGCAGGAGACATGGCGAGAGCCGTTGGTCGCGAGCTCAATCGCGTCGGCTTGCCTTCTCACTAAGTGGAGGAGGGGGTGGGCGGGCAGACGTTGGGATGGGAGTTTGGATCGTGCGATGTTGGTATTGGACTGAATCCCCGGCTGCGCCGGCTCTTGCGTTTGGGTCGTCAAGAGATCTTCAGTCAAGCTCGTTGTTCTGGTGATACGCTCCGCAGTGCGATTTGACATTTCGCCAACTACAGAGGCCCCATCGGGCGGGAGCGCTCGAGCGCACTCGGGGTCGCGCGTTCGTTCACGCATATCGCAGGCCCCAAAAAACTTTGTCATTGGGGGGCTGGCCGACGAGAACTTAGATGGCGCGAGCCTTTGGCCGTCATGTGCTTCCCGGAACGATGGGAGGCCCATCTCCGACGTGTTTTCGCGCGCGGGCGCGTCTTGGCGGGGGGTTGGCATCGTTGAGAAGATCGGGCCGCGCGCCGCCGCCGTCGAGCTATCGTCGCACGACGAATGGTGTAGGTTCGGGAGGGGCAACGGGCAGTCGGCCTTGCCCTCGACGTTCGACATCGGCAGGTGGGAGGACGAGGCCGACGAGAGCTTGATGGGCGCGGGCTTCAGCGAGCCTTCCAAGGACCCCGCGGCCCTGATAGGCCTGCGCGGCAAGGGCCCCATCACGGTCTTCCCGAAGCCTCCGGAGGCCAAGTTCAAGAGCGCCCCGAAGGAGATCTGGGGCGGCGTTTGGAAGCGGGCCCCCTCGAAGCCCCGGCGCCGCGAGGGGGCCCAAGTAATCCTGGAAGGGCGGGCCCTCGCGAGTTTCCTGAAACATCATCTTCGGAACGTGGCCAACTTCAGGACCGCTCGCGTCGTTCTCAACGATCCGATGGCTCCGTTGCTGGCTCTGCACAAGGGCCGCTTGTCCTCGGGGCCCTCCCAGCGGGCGCGCAGGCAGGCGGCCGCGCTGACGCTGTGCAGCGGGCGCGGCGCGGCGTGGCGCGGGGTGCCGCTGGGGCCAAACAGCGCTGACCCAGCCTCGCGGAATCGGCCCCGGCTGGCCGCCGAGGCCGGTCGCGCCGCTGCCGCCCGCGCCGCTGGCTGCGCCGCTGAGCCGCCTGTCGGGCGGGTTGCCGAGGGGCGCGCCGCTGGCGGCAGTGGCCGAGGCACCTGCGCGGCGCCGCTCGAGGCCGGCCACCCCCGCAGCATGGTCGAGGACTCCTCGGCCCGTGGTGGAGAGCGACTGCCGCGAGGCGAGACGGCCCCGGCGCCGCCGGAGCTACGGCCAGGGGTCGCCCCACCCCGCAGCCGGGCGTGGCCCAGTCGTTCCTGGAGCTGGAGTCGGCGTCGGCCGCCGCCCGCGGGGACGGCGCTTGCCGGGCGACCGGCTTCAGCAACTGGGCCCGGCGCTCGCGTCTTCCGACGGCGACGCTGCCGCAGTTGGGCGAGGCCTTGGCCGGCTACTTCCACGAGCAGGTCCCGGAGGGCGGGGGGAGCACCGACCCCTGCAAGCCGCTTGCGGTGTTGTTGTTCTCGGGCCCCCACCTGGGCTCGAAGCGCAGCAGCCCGCCGCGGGCGACGCGGGCCACCCGTGGTTGGCGGAAATTGGTGCCGCCCTTCTCGCGGCCGGCCCTGCCGCGGGCGGCCTGCTGCTTGGCCACCAGGCAGCTGGTCGCGATGGGCGGGAGAGCGCTTGCGGGGCTCGCGGCGCTGGCCTTCGCGCTGTACTTGCGGCCGCCGGAGGCGCTGTCGCTCGCGACCAGCAGCCCGGCGCCGCCGTCGGCGCCGCGCAGCGGGCCCAGGGGGGCTTGGAGCGCGACTCTGCACCCTCGCGAGGCGGAGTTTCCAAGAAGCCGCCCCCGGCGACCGCGCCGGGCGTTCGGGGCGAGCGCGGGCTTGCAGCGGCGCCCGCTCAGATCACCCAGGGCGCATGTTGCGCGTGGGGCCCCAAACGCTTGATTGCGCGCATTCGTTGGCGCACCTCCGAACGAGCTGCTCTAGTTAGCCCGAGAGCGACCTATGCGCGGACGGCCACCCTGCCGATTGGAACGCGCGCGCTTTCGGTGCCAGCGGATGCCCGGAGAAGACAGCGCCCTGCGATGTTCCATTGGCCGTCGCATCTGCATATGCGCAACCGCCGTCGGCTGCGGCGCGTCGCCCCCCGCTCCTTGCCACCCCTCCTGGGCGAGGGCGCGGGTGTCTTTTGTGCTCGAGAGCTCCGTTCTTGCCGCCTCGACTTGAGCGGCCTCGACGGGGCCCGCTGCCCCAGGTTGAGGAAAATGTTCGTTTTCGAAGTGTCCTCGCAGGGTGCTCGAGGGAAAGGCTCGCCCGGGCGTTTTTGCACCCAGATCGCCAAACCATCCTAGAGGCCTCTGCGTAGAGCCGTCTCGAGCATATGACAAGCGTTGCGGAATAAGGCGTCTCTTTCTTGAAGTAGGGCCATGGCCTGAAAGGCCAGGGGGTCGTTCGCAATCGTCTCAGCGCACGCGCAGCGTTCCAGTGCTGCGATCGTCTCGGGGGCCTTGGCTCTACGCGGCGTTTGCATCTAGATGCGCGCGGCTCCGGGCCGCAATCGCGCAGATATGCGGCGCGTTCGCCTCTGGAGGAAACGAGCTGAGTATCACAGGGCTTGCGCCCAGAATTCTGCCGAGCATAGATTGCTCTGGCGCGCTGGGCGTTCTCTGCGAGTAAGGGTGGGAGGGCGTTGTTGCGACCGCGTTCGCGTTAATACTAAAGCTTTCCACTCTCAAAATATTTTTTCCGCTCATCAGTTGGAGCTTTAAACGCACTCGCAGGGGTTGCGCTTGCCTCGAGGGCCTTGGCTCCCCGAAGCATCTGCATGTAGATGCGTGCGACTCCGGGCCGCAATCGCGCAGAAATGCAGCGCCGTCGTCTCCGGAGTAAACGAGCTGAATATCACGGCGCTGGCGCTCAGAAGTCCGCTGTACTGTGATTGTACTGCGCTTCAGCGGTTGCTCTTGCAGAGCACACTGGTGGGCGCACAGGCGAGAGGCGGGCACATCCTGGCTTCCGAGGCCGTGCTCCTATCATTCCTTGTACGTGCGCCGGGGAGCTTCCCACTTCGGGAGCGAAAGAAAAACGTGCACGCCGGCCGCTCGCAGATCCCAATCTCAATATACTTCAAGTGCCTTTCTACTTTTCTTTATTCTATGGGAAGGCCTGGACCCAGTCTACCTTACCGCAAGGGCTTCGCCCCCTGCCGCCGGCCCCCATCCATCGGATGATGGGGCATGTAAGAGCTATGTTGTGAGGCCTGGGCGCCGTCGTGAAGCAGCGTCCGAACTCCGAACTTGGGCCATTGGAGATATGAGCGCGCCAAGAAACATGAAAAATTTATGGACGACCGCAGATATTGGCCTCTTGCGCCCCTCTTGGGGGTCCTCCTGGGGGCCTCTTGGGAGCCTCTTGGGCCGTTTTGGGACCATCGTGGGCGCCTTGCACTCTTGGGCCGTCTCGGAGGCCTCTTGTACCGTCTTGGGGCCTTTGATGGAGTATCGTGGCCTCGAAAACGCGAATACCGCATACTTTGCGATACTGTTTGATTTCGGGGACGCGACGAGCGCGTAATGAATGAGTCATCGTGGCTTCGTGGACGCGGATATTTTTGGCTCGGAGACGCGACTATTGCGGAATGTAATACGGTGTATGGTTTCGGAAAAACAAACGCGATCGCAGTGTAATTTGCGAGGGTTTCTGGTTTCGGTGACGCGAACATTGTATCAGGTACAAGGGATGATGGCGTCGGGGGCGCGAAGATCATATGTTTTACTTGTCCCAGGACCCCCCAAACATGTTGAGGAAACCCCCAGGTGAAGGTAACCAGTGCCCTTTTGGGCTCCCCCCCCTCGCGCGGACTTCAACAATTCACAATGGGAAGCAGAACGCAGAGGTGTAACATCGGAGACTGGACACTGGATTTGGAGCAGGGAGCAGCAAGTCTAATAAGAGGAGCCTGATGGCCCCGCAAAGGGGCCGGCATAGGATCGTGCCGCATCGCCGATGCATCAGCGATACGGCTCGATGTGAACGCTTCATTTTCTCCACGTCGGCGTCCCCGATGCATCGCCAACGTCGACGATGCATCGCCGATGCATCGGCGATACATCGGGGATTCGGCGCGATTCTCCGACCCCATCTAGTCGGACCCCAGTTGCAAGGCCTCTAAACAGAACATGACGATTTTGATAATGTTCTACCTCTAAGGACCCCTTGCGGCCCTGGGGCCGTCAAGAGAACCACTCGGGATGAAAAGTTGCCCCGGAGGCCAAGACCTCAGAGGGTGGGATCCCACGTGGAGACCAAGTCACAGCGTCGGGGGACTGGGTCCCGAGACACATACGCCTTGTGGTCTGTTCCTCTTGCTGGAAGTGGTCGTGCATGTACGGAGTTCAATATTGAATAAGTAGGTGGAAACGGTTGTATTACAAAGTTGGTTTCATCGCTTGTCCTTATGGTTGCACTGGTAGATGCATCCACTTCGACAACATCGACTTGTAATGCCCGGTGTGCCCCCGAGTAGTCCGGGGCGGTCTCAGCACCCTGTGCGAAACAGGACGCGTTACTATTTCTTCCCTAGCTCCTCCTCCCTCCCTCCATCCTCCTGTAAGCGTGCAGAAGCCCACAGCCCGCAATCGTGTCGCCAGGGGGAGCGCCTCGTCGCCGACTTCAGGGAGCGCTTCGAGCGGATTGAGGCTGGCAGCGCGCCGTTGTGCCCTTCCCCCTTCCCCGTTCCCCCCTGTGCATCTTCTTGCGCGTTCCGAACGGCAAGACATACATTACATTATTCTGCCGCCAGCGGATGTTGATCGTCATCGTCCCCTCGTTGCGTCGAGTCGTCCCTGGCGTTGCGCCGCCCCGCCCCTCCTCCTCCTCCTCCAGAATTTGACTCGCCGTCGTCGTCGCCGCCCCCAGGCGGACAGCTACTTCACCTCGTCGTCCCCCGTCCACGTTGCGCCGTCATCCCCGGCGTTTTGCCGCAACCCGCTCCCGTGCTGATATTGCATTTGTCGTCGTGGTTTTTGTCCACTTCGCTGCGCACCCCCCCTTGTCTCACTCGCTCGATGCACCGCCAGCAGCGTGCGGCTATGAAGTGAGACTGACAGGTCTAGCATGCTCCCCCTCCAGACCGACCCTTTGCCCTCGCATTGCCTGGGTCCCCCATGGGGAGGGCGCAGGTGACCGCGCTCCGCGCACCACGGCCTGGGTCAGACAGCTGCCCTTCCCCAGCAAGTGACGCGAGAGTGAGGTGCCGCGCACCCCGCCTCGCGGGGCCCGATGCCGAAGTCGGTCCCTGGGCCCCCTCCCGGGGGCCCAAGCGCAGGAGTTGCCCGAGCCGTGTCCAGCCGCAGCGCCCACCCGCGCCTGCGGGCCCAGCCTCGGCCCGGAGCCGTGCCGTGGGCCAGGTGGCCGGCCTCCGCGCGGGCCTGCTGCACGGCCCAGGAATCTGCGCCTTCACGCCGGGAGGCACAGCCGCCGAGCAGGTGGGGTCGGGTGGGCGCCCGGCCGTCTCGGAGGCGACGATGGGGGCGACTTGCCAGGGGGTAGAACATTTGACCGCTCGCGCCCAGGTGGTGGGGATGTCTCAGTTCGTTTGCATTGCAACCACCTGAGACAGGCCACGATTCTTTGACCTAAGACACTCACAGACGGGAGTGCCAGGAGCTGAGATGCAAATGCGGTGGTTTGCGCGTCGAGTAAGGCTTGCACGACGCAAGGAGGTCTGCCGTGCGAGAGCGGTTGCCGCCGCTGCACCTCCTCCACCTCCCCCCCTCCTCGTCTTCGGTCCTAGGTTTGTCTGTCGGTCGGTCGGTCTGTCTGTCCGTCAGTCCGTTTGTCTGTCCGTCTGTCTGTCTCTCTGTCTGTCTGTCTGTCTGTCTGTCTGTCTGTCTGTCTGTCTGTCTGTCTCTCTCTCTCTCTCTCGCTCGCTCTCTCTCTCTCTCTCTCTCTCTCTTCATGAAGCTGGATCTCTGCCCCGATAGGCTCCTGCTCTGATCCTCTTCTTGCTCCTCCTCTCCTCATCCTCCTCCTCGCCCTCCTACCCCTCATCCGCCCCCCTCCCCCTCCTCCTCCTCCTTCTCCTCCTCCTCCTCCTCCTCCTTCTCCTCCTCCTCCTTATCATCATCCTCCGTTCCGCTTCCTTCTGGATAACTCTTTCTTGTCGCACCCCGAGGCCAGTCGGAAGGGCGGGCCGGGCATTTTTCACATATGGAGCACGGGCGGTTCTCAAATGTGAGTGTCGTTTGAGCGCCGCGTGCATTCGCATTAAACATTTGCAAGAGCTTCACGGATTCAGGGCGGTTCCTTTTGAGATGTGGTTCTCGCTTTCGCGTCGCGCTCATTCGTTTCCAACATTCAAAGATTTTCACGGGCTCCCGTTGTTCACGCACTATAAATGGTGTTTTGGAGCGGTTAAGGGTTGCTTGGGCGCAACAGTTGAAGTCCAAGGGATGGCTTATTTGCACGATTCAGGATCGTCACGACGCAACCGTGAGATTGATTCGTGGCGTTGGAGTCCCGAGAATTGTGTGTGTGTGTTGGCACGCTTCAGATTATTCAAACGGTTGTCTCCCAACGGGGCCTTTCCCAAAGTGGAAATAACTCTCTATAGGTGCCTATGAAGCGGGAATTTGGAGGGAGGGTGTATTACAATATCGTTGATGAGTTTTGGGGGGTCGCATTGGCCTTCCTCCTCCTCCTCCTCTTCCTCCTCCTCCTCCTCGTCCTCCTCCTCTTCCTCCTCCTCCTCCTTTCACTTAGTGAACTAACTTGCTCTTGCTCTTCCTCCTCCTCCTCCTCCTCATCCTCTCTCTCTCTCTCTCCTCTCCCTCGCACTCCTCCTGATCCCTCCTTCCGTCTCCTCCTCCTCCTCTGCCTCCTCATCCTCCTCCTCCGCCTCCCTCTCCCAATCCATCCCCTCTTCTCACATCCCTCCTCTTCATCCTCATCCTCCCCTCCGCCTCATCACTTCCCCCCTTTTCCCCCTCGCCCCGCCTGGAAGGCCACCTTCCACCCCCGCGACCTCGTGCAGCATCACGCCGACGGCTCGGAGTCCCCCGAGGCGCCCCCCAGTCCGAGCGCGGCGTCGGCCGCAATAGACGTGACCTGGAGGAGCTGGCCAGCGCTTCTCTGTCCCCTTTCCTCCGCTCGACGTCATGATGATGGCGTCGGGGGTCTCGGCTTCCTGGCCCCCTCGTGCCGCCCGCTTCCACGTCTCCCCCGGCCCTCCGGCCTCTTCCCTCTCCTGCCTCCTCCCTGCCTGCTGCTGCCCTCCTGCCTCCTCGCTGCTTCTCTGTGCCTCCTCCGCCACCCCTCCTCCCTGGTCCCCCTCCCTGTGAGTAGCGATCACACACAAACACACGCACGCAAACACTACTGTACAGAACTACCCACGCACGAGGACGCCGACTACAAGGATACCCCCACCCTCCTCCTCAAGATCGTACGCATTTGCGTTTTCTACACGCGACAGTATAGATAGAGGCCACGGTCAAGGCCGCGAGGATGCTCCGCATGGGTGGCTCGCTGGCTCGCTCCCCACTGCCTCCTCCTCCCTCTTCCCTCCTGCCTCACAGGGTCAGGGGAGGCAGGGGAGCAGGGCGGGGAGATTGGAGACCTTTTCTGATGTTCCTGTTGGTCTCTGCGCCCCCAAGCGACCCACACGTGTGTGCGACTAAGCAGGCACATATACATGCCCCCTTACGTAAGCTCCGGTCTAAACCGCTTGGGAGCTTGAGCCCAGGAGGAGGAGGCGGGAGGAGGAGCAAGAGGATCGGATCGCATCGGCTGTTCACGGAAACCAGGTGCACGATTTTGACAGCAGGGGGGGTGCAGCACTATATAGAGCGCCACAGCCCCAAGAGGAAGGATGAGAAGGAAGGAGCAAGGAAGAGGAGGGGGAGGATAAGGATGATCGGGACGAAGGGTAAGGAAGGAAGGAGGGCATGTGTTTCTCTTGGTTGTCTGGTTCTCATTTGTACATCTGGAGGCCTCGGGGTGCCAGACGCCTCCGTGTGGGAAGCCCCTGCAGGGACCTCCGGAAACTTCTGCCCTCCTCCTCTCCCCTCCCTCCCCCCAGGACCTTCAACTTTTTGACCGAAGCACTACACAGGTTTCGCTCCGCCCTCCGCATCGAGGGGGGCCCTGAACGGCCCAAGGACCGTCAACCAACTGCTCAGGATGAAAAGCCGGCCCCACGGAACAGAATCGGGATCTCCAGGGCCCCCCATCCTAGAAATCAGGGCACCGGATCTGAGCATTCCTCCTTTGTCCTGTTGCCTCTTTACGAGACCACCTGCGAACCTCCTACAGGTCCAATCGACTCTGCTGTACTGGATACCCCTTCTCGGGCTCCTTTGGCTGCAGACATCCTTCTCAAAGTTTGTCCCTCAGCTGTTTCTTTGCAGAGGTCTGACCCACACGGGGAGGGCTCACATGTGGTTGCCGACTCCCTTCGCACCTACTTGTGCACGCCTGCCCCCATCCCCGTGAGTGGTCCCCGTGCTGTTGCCAGACCCCGCCACCGCACCGCGCATCAAGGCGCGTCCTGGCGAATCCTCGTCAGGCATCCTCCCCAGACGAGGCGTCTGCTTCTGAAGAGGATCCTCCCCCCGACGAGGCGTCTGCTTCTGCTCAGAGGTCTCGGAGGAGGTTTTCTCGACGGCATGAAGGATCGAGAGAGCTCTCCCCATGCCTCCTCTCTTTCTCTGTCTCTCTCTCTCTCTATCGTTTTGTCTCTCTCTCTCTTTTCCTCTCTCTCTCTATATGTATCTCTCTCTCTCTCTGTCTCTCCCTCTCGTTTTTTTTGTTTTCTCTCTCTCTCTCTCCCCCTCTCTTTCTTTCTCCCTTCCCCTCGTACTATCTCTCCCTCCTCTCCATCTTATCCCTCCCCTCATTCGCCTCCCGCTCAGAATCGGTCCGCGGGCCTCTCCCGGGGCCCGTCCCAGCGGTGTTTGCACCCTGGATGGATTTTGGCGGTCGCGGTAGCTGGGCAGAGTCCCAGCTTGCTGATTATGTTCTAGGCTTACGCTGCATCCGTCGACCCCTTTTGAATGCCCATTTTGACGGAGACTTGGGTACGGCACGGTATGTGTTTGTGTGTGTGTGTGCCTTCTGGGACGCATGCCTTGGAAAATTCTGCGAACGTCTGTCGGTCGCGTCGTCTTTCGCCAGGCCACGTGAAGGAAGCGCAGAAGAAACGCAATACTTCACGGAAGTGCGCGGACGGGCGCCAGAGGTTGACGCACGAGTCAAGCAATCGCGGACAGAAAACAGAGAGGCGGAATCGAAGGCGGCGACGAGCTGCGCGCCAGGTTGCGTGAATTTGTTTTGTGACACGGGCCATTTGGACAAGAACCAAATAGGGCATCAAGGTGCCAGAGTGGTTCGTGAGGCATGTGACACACAAGGGGTCGCCGCGAAAGGCGTTGCTGATGCGGCGCAGCGGCATGAAAGACAGTTGACGTGCGCGGCCTGCGGGGAAGCTATCTCGGACACGAAGCATGTTCATAATGGACAAGTGGGATAATATCGGAAGTCGAAGCAGAGGCGCGTTGTGCCGCGAATTGCACGATGTTTGGTTTCCCGGCGCGCGGTTGGCAGGCGCATCAGTGCAGTGGCACGTGCCGAGTCGGCGTTTTCCGTGAGGACTGACTGTGTCGTGCGTTCCGAGAGAAAAACGGCACCATGAAATGCAAGTCCTGCGAATGATGCCCGTCAGGGTGATTATTTGGCAAATGGACTTTGCAATGGCACTACACGAACCGAAGTCCTTTGAGAGCAAAACGGAGGGCGACGATTCTGAGAAGGAGAACGCGGAAAGGATAATGATGAGTAGGAGGAAGAGGACGGGGGAGAGGGAGGAGCAAGAGGAGGAGGAAAGAAGGCTTTTGCGGACTCCCACGCCGACAAATATGGATTAGCCTTCTGCCCACCCCGCCACCGTGTCTGGGTTGTGTGTAAGGGTCGTCAGGGAAATATTGTTGGGCCCCCCTCCCGACCATTTCCGTAGGACCGTTATAAGAAGCATGTTGGCGGCCTCCTTTGTATTGGTTCTTTTTTGTATGCTTTTGGGGCCTCTTGGAGGCCTCTTGGAAGCTGTTGGGGTTCCTTGGCATTCTGGGTGCATCTTGGGGCGGGAAGCTTGATTTGTCGGTTCGGGCTCCCGGTCGTGGGCCCTTCTCTGGGGGATTCGAGGCAGTTGTGGGTTGTGTTGGGCGCCCCTTTGGGCCGTTTTGGGGCATTTTGGGCTCTCCTGGTGGCTCTTTGGGGGGTCTTTGCGGCCTCTTGGGCCGTCGTCAACGCCGTGAAGGCCGAAGAATCGTAGATGCTCGCGGTGTACGTACGTGCCCTTGAGGGAATTGGACCGTGTTTGCCTCTGGGGTCGATGTTGGAGGCTTCGTGAGGCGTCCTCGGGGCATCGTGGGCCGTATGGAGGTCATCTTGAGCGTCTGCGAACGTTCCATCAGCGACTCGCGGCCTTCTTGGACCGTCCTGTGTGCGGGTCGTCGCGGAGCCCTCTATCCCCCGATGCCGCGTTCGGCCCGGGGTCGTGCGAGGCCGTTGGGGGGGGCAAAGGGTCGGCGGAGTTGCCTTCTTCGCTCCGATTCGGGCCAACGAGGGCTGGTGTGGTCTCTTTTGATTGCCCTGAGGATCCACCTGTTATCACAACTCGCTCTGTCTGAATGGCTTGTGAGGCTAAGCCCAGAGGAAACAAGTGTCCACCTCCCCCCTTGCCGCTATGCTCCTGCCCCTGTTCCAGCTTGTCCTCCACCCTTCTTGCGTATCCTTCTGTCTGCGGCGGCCGCTCTGGTCGAGACACGGCCAAACCCTTCACGAAAAAGGGACGGATGTTTGCGCGCGCCCACCCCCCCCGCACAGAGAAGGCAATCATCTGCCCAGCGGGCCATTTCTCTTTCCCCTCCTACGATTTGATGTTTTCCCTCCGCCTTCTCCTCCTCGCCTTCGTGTCTCACCCCACCTCCGCTTTCCCGCTCTCCCTCCTTGATTCCGCCCTGCACTTTCCCCTCCTCCGCTCCACTCTCCTCTTGCCCCTCTCCCCCCTCTCCCTCCCCTCCCCTCCCTCCCCTCCCTACCACCTCCCCGCGCTGGCGGAGCCCGCGCTTCGCGTGCAAAGCAAATGCGATGGAGGGGCGCACTTCGCGCCAGCGACAGGCACAGATGCTAGCATTATGTCTGTTCCCGGGCGCCCGCCCGCGACCCCCCCCCCAGATGGGATGGGTCCGAGGGCCGCGCGGTTCCCCACCCCCAGATGGGAAGTGGGGCGGGGTGGGGCGGGGCGACGACGACGACGACGACCAAAGCGATGACGACGACGACCTCCCATTTTCTTAAGCACTGCGCTCCCACGCCACACCAAGCACGAATAGACACCCACGAGGGGTGGGCCCGATACCATCAGCTTTGGGGGCGCTGTCTCGACCTCGGGCCATTTGCATCACCCTTGCGCACGCTGCTGGATCCCGGCAGCTGCATCGTTGCCAATCGAAGAACACAAGACGGGGTAAACATAATTGTTCGGATGCTCGCGCTGATTTCTTGGATCGGCGCTGGGCTCCCCTGGCGGTGCCTCCAGCGCCGCCCCTGGCACGCTCTTTGCGCCAGGGAGCGGGGTCCAGCGCCGATCGAAGAAGTCCGCGCGGACCTCCGAGGAAGTATGTTTATAGCGTTGGTTGTTCCCCTGGCCAGGTTGCGGTGCGGTGCCCCCTCCTGCGTCCCAGCTGCCAACTCCTCGCTCGGCCTTTCTTCCGACCGCCCTGGCTTGGGCGCCGACCGGCAGGTGCCCGGGAAGGCCTCGAACCTGAAGCACGCCGTGCGCTGGGCGCACGAGCGTTGCCAGCAGGAGCGCTGGAGGGCAGGGTCGGAGGCGACGATAGGGGCGACTAGCCCAGGGGCGGGCAATGCACGCATTCGCCGGGGAGTCTCGCCGAAGGCATGAACCATCGGCGCCCTTTGGTACATGTATCGCTCTCCCATGGACTACTCGCCCCCATCGTCGCCCCCGGCACGGGACGATGACATCGGGGCACAAACAATGACATATTGCAGTATAGAAACACTCCCCCACCGAAAGGTTCGGATATGCTCAGCACACGTTTGGAACGATAGTTGTTTCGGATCGGGTTTCA